AAAAGACCCTGACTAGTCAAAACAATCCTGAGAAAGAACAAAGCTGAAGGCATCGTACTTTCTGATTTCAAACTATATTACAAAGCTACAGTGACCAAAACAGTACAGCACTGGCACAAACATTGACATGCAGACCAGTGGAATAGACTGAGAGACCAGAAATAAACCTTAACATATATGGTCAACTAATATTTGCCAAAGGAGCCAAGAATACCTAATGGGAAAAGAATAGTTTCTTCAATAAATGGTGTTGGGAAAACTAAATAATTACATGCAGAAGAATGAAAGTGCCACCCTTTATCACACCACTTACACAAATTAACTCAAAATGGATTAAAAATTTAAACATAAGACGCCAAACTGTAAAGTTCCTAGAAGAAAACATAGGTAAAATCCTCCTTAACATTGGTCTTGACAATGTCAAGCAACAAACGCAAAAATCAAAAATGGGGCTGCATCAAATTTAAAAGTTTCTGCAAAGCAAAAGAAATAATCAACAAAGTAAAAAGTTGACTTATGGAATAGGAAAAATATTTGCAAACCATATATCTGATAAGGAGTTAATATCTAAAATATATAAAGAGCTCATAAAACTCAATTACAAAAACAAACAATCCAATTTTTAAAAAAGGCAGAGGAAATAAATAGACATGTTTACAAAGATGGAGAAATGGCCAATAGGTACATGAAAACTGCTCAAATTGTGAGGGAAATGCAAATCAAAACCATAATGAGATTTCACCTCACACCTACCTGATAACAAGTGTTGTTGAGGATGTGTAGAAAAGGGAACACTTGCACGCTGTTGGCAAGGATGTAAATTGGTTTGACCATCATGGGAAACAGTATGGATGTTCCACAAAAATTAAAAATATAGCTGCAATATGAACCATGAATCCCACTTCTGAGTATATATCCAAATGAAGTGAAATCAGGATATTGAAGAGATATCTGCACTCCCATATTTATTACAGCATTATTCACAATAGCCAAAATGTGGAAACAACCTGTGTCCAACAACAGATATGATATATATACACACACATATATACACACAATGAAACATTATTCAGTTATTAGATAGAAGGAAATCAATTCTGCCATTTGCAACAATATGAATGGACTTGAGGGTACCATGCTAAGTGAAATATTATATGATATCACTTGTATGTGGCGTCTAAAAAAGCTAGACTTTTAGGAACAGAGTAGAACGGTGGTTGCCAGGGGAGGAAGCATGGGAAACTTGGGATATGTAGGTCAAAGGATACAAACTTGCAGTTAGAAGATAAGTTCTGGGGATCAAATGCACAACATTGTGATTATAGCTGACAATATTGTATTATGTACTTGAAAGCTTCTAAGTGACTAGACCTTAAATGTTCTTACCACATAAAAGAAGTGACCATTATGTGACATGCTGGAGGTACTACCTAATGCTATGGGAGTAACCATATTGCAATGTATAAGTGTATCAAATCAACATGTTGTGCACCTTAAATGTACACGATGTTACATGTTAATTATGTCTTTTAAAAAAAGGTAAAATAGAGAGGAATGTAATAATGGGATAGACTTATATTTGGTGCCTAGTGAATGATTAAGATAGCACATGTAACAGAAAGGGGATTGTCCTCGAAGGGGCAAAAATGACTAATGTGGTTCGGCATACAGAAAAATGTAAATGGCATTAGCAAATGTGAGGTGGTAGAGCTATGCGTGGATATTCAGAATACAATAAACAGATGCATCGGGTACAAACACTTGCATTTATGTTGGAAGTTATTGGCACTGAAGGTTGAGTGGGAGTATCTAAGGCAGATCTTGGAAAGTCTTGAATACCACGCTCCAAAATAGGCAAAATTATGCAACCGAAGTGTTTGAATCCATGTAACCTGAATGGTAGGAATAGGAGGGGCATAGAAAATATCACCGATAAATAAATTCTATGGTGTGTTTAATTAAAACCAGACTTTATGCTAGGTGCTACCAGGAATTCACCATTTTTGCTAGTCTTCTCTGCATCCCAAGGCATTCATTAAGCTCATGGGGCATTGTGTGAAGGGTGGAGGGTCTACTTTCTGGTTGTCAACGGTTTAATATACATATGGTATATGTTTGTATACAGGTGCTGGGCTGCAGAATTCACATGGCTCCTCCTAAATTCAATGGCACTACTTGCAGGTGTCTAAACATTGTCCCCTAAAACCCCGGACACAGCCTTCTTTATCTTTATGCTCCCTATTTGTTGTGAGTTTTCATGCAATGCACTCTATGTGTGTGTGTTAATGAGTGTTAATAATGAGTGTTATAGGGTAGGCTACTTATAAGTTGAATAAAAAAGGTGCATAGCCCTTTGGTGCCTGACATTCATATCTAGCTAATTCAAACTCTCAAAAGAATTTCTTGTTCTTTGTCTGAACATTGCTGTTAATCTTTCTAAGATATCTGCCTTTGAAATCCTAACCATCTTTTTTTCTAAATTAAAACTCTTTGCTCCTTTCAAATTTATTCCTTAGTTTCCTCTCCTTTTCTTTTGTTTCTTAGGTATGGTATTAACCAGTCATGTGAATTTAGGTAATTCACCTGACCTTCTTAGGTCTGTTTTTAAGCTGAATTGGATTTGAATGATCTTGACCTGTCCTTTCAGTTGAAAATGGTAAAATGTCTGTAAAAGCTCTTTGTGAATATTAGGTGCCACAAGATAAGGGATAGTTATTATTTCTGTTTCTATTTTGTTTTTGATTTCTGGATTCCCCCGCAACTGCCCCTGACACCCACCTCATGGAGTATCATGACTTCTAGCATATCATACACATCTAGGATAAGTTTTCCATTGTATATAATACAAAGAAGACAGTGAGAGTATTAAAAATATTTAACAGCTTCTGGAAGAATGTATATGCGGTAGTTGTGGGGAGGGAGTTTCTTTTTTTCCTATTCTCTATGCATATATGAAGGAAACAGTTTCTGTTTCTTCCAGTTATCTGAGATTTTAGAACATGCAAATTGTGGATACAAATGATCAATCGCAATGATTTAAATTTCACTGGCTTTTATCCCACTTATTCCAGCAAGATCCTACACCCTTGCGCCCCATCTCCTGACCAGCCTCCTAAGCATTCCTGGAAGTCTCTGGTCAGATAACACAATGTTGATATCTATCATTTATTTTCCTTTTTTCTACTCAGCCTCACTTCATCTGGTTATACTTCTGCTCCCCAGACATCACTGCTTCCATGAGGTTCCATTATATTTCCTACTACAGTTGAACCACTGGAGCTCGGGAGATGCCGAGGCTGCATTGAGTACTGCTGTGAACTGGAAAAATATGCTTTCTCCCATTTCTGTGAAATAGTAGAAATGCTGCTGAGATATGTCAAATGGCACAGAGTCTTTGGTGAAAATGGTCTTTAGTTTGTACTTAGATTTCATACCATCAGTTTCAAATATTAATTCAAGGAATAACTCGACTGGGGCATGGATTGAAGTGATAGACCCAAGACCAGAAAAGAATTTCTGTTTCCTTCCAGGGATTAAATGTTTCTTTCATTGTCAAGCTTGAGAGAGCTGCATTCTTTTTCCCACAGGATGTGTTTTTTTCTCATGAGGTGTTTCAGTCTTGTAATGGTAGAGCCAGAAGTTCAGTTGATCAGACGTGCCCAATATATATAAAATGTGAATAAAAATTATATCCTGAACTTCTAGCACCAAAAAATCTTAAGAGATGAAGCTGTCTTTAGGGAAAATACCTAGGCCATTTCCTGGAGCAGATGAGACCCAAACTCCTGGAAGTTGGCTCTTACCAAGATACCTTGTTGCTAGTAGGTGAGGGTGAAGAGGAGAGATATGATGAGAGAGGTGCCTTGGGGAGCAGGTAGCACTGGGTGCTATAAGGAAAAGGGTATGAGAGAAGCCTGTGAATTTTGGGGAGGCTGAGAAGGACTTCTAAAGAATAGGAGGAGCTCTATAGATGATTTCTAATTGGTTACTATGTAGTTCCTGTATTCTTATCCATTTGGGAAGAGTTTTGGACTTCACAGAACATAGAATAGGAGAGTATAGAGAATTTAAGCCAATGGCACTCAGATTTTATGAAGTAAGAGGAGTTCCCAGATGAAATCTGGGTTATATGTGGAAGCAAACCAGTTAAGCCTCAATCTGGGAATTTTTCTAGAAGGTTCATTCCAAATTGTAGTACAATAGAGAGGCAACAATTCAGCCAATGGAAACAATATGCAATTGACCCAGTTAAGTTGCCAATATCTGGGCAGGTTCTAGGATTAACCTAGATTAGGTAAGTAGTTTGCTGTTCTGGGGAGAATATAATGTTTTAGCAAATGAAAATGAAAGAAGAGTTAAGTTCTGACTTGAGTTTTAAAACTTTTTCAATAAAGGCACAGTATTTGTAAGAGAAATAAATTAGAAAATTTATTTCATTGGATAAAAGTCCAGAGCAGCGGCAGCAGCAGCAGCAGCAGGAGAGAGAGAGAGAGAGAGAGAGAGAGAGAGAGAGAGAGAGAGAGCGAGCGCGAGAGCGAGCATGAGAGCGCCAGATCTTTTCTTGACTAAATTTAGGAAAGTGAATTGATGGCTTTGCCTGGGGAACATTCAGGGTATGGGCAATAAATTCATATTGCAGAGAGACTCATATTAATGTGTGAGAGGATAAGATAAAAACTATGTGTGGACACCTTGAATTTGGCTCTCTTGTGTAAAATATACTGGGAGTAAGACTCCGAAGATCGAGACGACTAAGGAGAGATGGGGAAGTCATGAGAGTCAGGACCAACCTGGGGATTATGGGAAGGAAAAGAAAGGAGTGGTATTGAATAGGAAAGGATTGATTGTTTTAGGAATGGATGACTATGGGAATAAAAGAGAATGAGGCTTGCATTTACGATACATCTCTATGACAGAGAATTGTCAAGAGTAATGCTGGTGACTGGTGTTAATTTCCATGCAAACTCCATTTGCCCAAAGGTCTTGCTGTACCTAGTGGCTCAGGCAGTCTCTAGGCCCCAGCACCTTACCTTTAAAACCTTTTTCAATTTAGGGCTGCTCATCATCAGTAAAGTGGAGTGAATAGAGACCACAGCATAGATGACAGTTTCCCAGGCCCAGAACCAATGTCTCCTATTAAACGGATTGTCTACTATGGTGATAAATATGGCCAGAAAGTAAGAGGTGAAGAAGATGAGGAAGAAGGCAAGATACCTCAAGGCACTAAAGTGAGCTTTCAAGCTGGAGTTGCAGTGGCCAATGTTGTGACGTTGTATCTGCCCCAAGTGTTGGCACAATGAGGCTATGAGCGAGATGGTGGAGGCCAGGAATAGGAGGAAAGGAATAACCAACAACACCAGTTGCTGAAATATCAACAAATTCTGCAGAAGCTTCTTAATTCTCTCAGTCACAGTGTTGTTTCCAGGCAAATGCATCATGGAGATTAACTGAAATTTGATGCGACTCCTAATGACTGAAAAGATGATTGCCACACAAGAAATCAGCAGAGAGCCCAGCAGTAGCTGGGGAATCAACCTCAAAATTCTCCACTTCAGCCAGAGAAAGACGGGGTGGGTGAAGGAAGAGACTTTGACACAGTAGACAATAGCAAGCAAGCTGGTTAACCAGAACGTAAGAGTATTAGTAAATTCCCAGATGATTGATATGTACCAAAATGTGGTGTTAGGGTTGAAATAGGAGCAAAAATTGTACAGCACCGATGACCACTGCTGGCAGAAGCGGCAGAAACCCAGGCTGATGAAAACCATGTCCACAGGTGACATCCTTTTGATCCGCATCCACTCTCTGCCCAGCACTGCAACAATTAGGCTACTCTGCACAATTATTGTCAAGGACTCAAGCGCATAGATGACCATGAAGAAGACAGTGAGTTGGATGGGTATCATCCTTTTACCCCAAAGTATCTTCCTGGACGCAGACTCAGAATCTCTGCAACAATTTCCAGATAGGGAACATGTGCCTGGTCTCACTACTGTCTCATGCAAGAAAGTACCTCTACCTCCTGTGGATGCAAATTTCCCCTCGCTCACTTTTGACTTTGCCATTTTTCTGTCTGCAAGATTTGCTTATGCTTTGCTTGCTGGTTTGTTATCGGGCCCAGATGCAGGGAAATATTTGAATGTGGATTTGTGTTCCTGAGGTGATTTGATTATTTCCATAAAAGCATACCTATTTCATAACCATGCCATTTATTTCCTCTTTATCTCTCTGAGGAGTCTTTAACTTACTTCCCCATCTTCTTTAAATGATATCCTCACTCTTTAACCTAAAATTTGAACCACAGGAGAGATAACTCCTTCACTGTTCATTCATGTCCTGGGTAATCTATCTACTCTGCTAAGTGAGTGCTATAACAACGCCAACTTCAGAAACCCTGTCTCTCTAGCTTCCACAGTAGTGGATGCTACAACCGAAGTGTGAGCATCAATAAAAGATGCTAAAGAAAAGTCCTTATTCTGTGATTCCACTCATAGAATTGCTGGAATTCCAGACCTTCAAGTATTCCCATTCAAGTATCCCCTTCAAGTATTCCCAGTATAGGTTGCTTTCATAACTGCCCGCTGAATTCTTCAACTCAGAGAAACCACTGCACACTCCCCATTGCACTCCCCACAGTCAAGGTATGGTGTCCTTAGTTATTATTCTGTCAAGTCCAATGCCTCAAGCTTTACGTCTCTGGGAATTGCTCTTGGTCTCTTGACATCTGTCTTTTTTTTTTTCCCTCTTTACCTGGCTAGGGCTCTTTCTGTCACTGCTCACATTGCTCAGGATGAACAGAAAGGGGGCCATTTACTACTAGTAAAAGGGCTTTTAAAGATTAGGCCTACTGAACAGCCTAGATGGCCTTGCCCACTTTGATTTTTATTTATTGTCCTTGAGTGTCTCGAACCAGCCTATGGTGACAAATGAAGTCACTGATGGTGGTAACATCAAATGCTATTGACTCTGGTGTAATATGGTTCGGTAAAATTTCAGTCCTCGGTAGAGTACCCATTAAGTATCTCGAAAAGTCTCCTGTGAGCTCTCAAGCAAGTCCGACCCCAGTGGATTCAGGATGCTCTGATTTCTTAGGCACCTGCATAGGATACTGCACCTGCCAGCTGCTTCCCTTCCCAGCAGCGTAGCATGGATCTGCTGCACCGTCCCTGTCATATGCTCACGCTGCTCAAAGGCCCATTCCCCACAGGCCCTGAGCCGCAGCTGAGTAGCCAGTGGTCTGTGGTAAAGCAGACCTATGTTCATACTTTGAACTGTTCAAGGAGACATAGAAGCTTAATCCCTTGCCCTTCTATCCTTTGTAATTTCACCAGAGGCAAATTTGATTTGCAGTTGCACAAACAACTATAATAGCGCCCTCATGAAGCAAGCTTTTTTTCGTATCTTGATTCTAGGACTACAGTTCAAAAGAGCCAGTGTCGCTGGTTTGGATGTGAACACTTGGTGTGTGGCACCTTGGAACATGAAGCTGGTGATTGAAAGGCTCAGAGGCAAAAAAAAAAAAAAATCCCTATAAGCATGGAACTTGTGAAATTGTAGACTTTGGTTGCTGTTATGGACAAGGAACAAACTACACATAACTTCTAACTATATATAAATTAATTCACAGCTATCTAGGCAGCCTAGAAAATGAATTCAGGAAATGAGTTCAGAAAAAAATATACCAGATAGACACTAAATATTTAATTAATGTCTCAAAAATGAGAGGAGAATTGTTACTTGGTGAGGGAGACAAAGTGAAAGTCATCGATGCTTTGGGTGATAAGCACCAAGTCTGTATGGACTTTAATCATTCAAGGAAGAAAAAAAACCAGAAGTGATCTAATATTAAGTTTAGAATTCGTGAATATAAAACAAGAAACCACTGAGCTCATGCTGCAAAGGTAAACCATAGTAAAAAATTATACTAGAAAACAGAATATTAAAAAAGCATTTGCTTTGCATTCTCAATAAAATGTAAGAATTGGGAAGTTAAAAATGAGATGACAAAATAATAGTTTGCAATTAAAAGGTGAGTTGGTTGAGATGTATCCAGACATAAGAAGAGAGAAAGATAAGAAATGATGGTAAGTTAGGGAAATATGCAATAATAGCATTAACATCTGCCTTTGGTCCTGGATACACTAAAATGTTGCTCTCCAATTATATTGCCTCATTCTGAGAACCCCCAGAATGTCCCAAACCTCCATCTGTGAGTACGATTCATGTGACATCCCTTGACTGGATACCACACATAGTAGTTTGACCAGGAATGAGCATCTGTCCAAAGTAGTCACTCCTAGATTGGCCTACAGCCTGAACAATGGCCTGGAACCACTCTACTCCACAGTGGCACTATCTATGTGATAGTGACCAATAAAGTAACCCAGGTACTCTCTTTGGGAAAGATTGAATGTGAGACCTACAAGGTGAGTCTTTATACTGGAGGTTGATATTCCTTGGTGTTAGAAGTTCAAAGCTGGGCTCTTTTATCGTGTGTGCATGTGAACTGTGCAAAGCTATTTCTGGGGTCCCTTGATTCAGCAAATAGAACATTACAACACCTAGTAGGTACTTAGAGAATATTTGTTGAATGATTGATGAGAACAGGAAGAATAGACTAAAGGGCATGTGTCCTACTATATTACAAGTATAAGGGCCTTGATAATCATAAAACCAGCATCCTAACATAGTAGAGACATGTACACTGTTATTACATGAGGTTATATTCCTCTGTCATTCAACAACTGAAATTGGCGAAGATCTAAAATAAAAGTGTGCTCAAGTTGACAACTATTTTTTAGGGAAAATCTTGTATGTTGGGTATTTCTTTTGAACAAATCTATTGAAATTGAATGAGACAATTAGCGATTTCAAATTTTTATGCATCACACGAGACACTGTGGAGAGTGAATCCCATGAGCTGTATGCACTTCTGTGAATATGCATTATTGATCAGTGTTTGAGTGAGTGTGACTGGCAAAATGGACCCCATGTTAATACAATGTGAATTCAACAATGTTCTGGTCATACCCCATCCCCTGGTAGTATATTTATACTGTTGTAGGTAAAATAATAGCCCCCCAAATATTCACATCCTAATCCCCTAAACCTGTGACTATGTTACCTTACGTGGCAAAAGAGACTTTGTAGATGTGATTAAGGATTTTGGATGGGAAGATTATTCTGGAAAATCTGAGTGGGCCCGATGTAATCACAAAGGTCCTTATAAGAGGGAGGCAGGGGGTGAGAGTCAGAGGAAAATGAAACCATGAAAGCAGAGATCGAGGTCGTGAGCCAAGGAATTCAGGCAGCTTCTCAAAGCAGAAGGCAAGGAACAGTTTCTCCTCCAGAGCATGAAGAAGAAACTCAGCTCTGCCAATACTCTGATCTCCAGAACTTTAAGACAATAAATAAATTTAGTATACAGAAGTTCTTTCTTATCCATGGGGGATATGTTCCAGACCCCAGGTGGATGCCTGCAAAGTGGAGAGTACCAAACCCTATATATACCATGTTTTTTCCTACACATACGTACTTACGATAAAATTTAACTTATAAATTAGTTTAATTTATAAATCACTGTGGTGATTAACAACAATAACTAATAATAAGATTAAAACAATACATTGTAAGTAAAGTTATGTGAATGTGGTCTCCCTCAAAACGCTATTGTACTGTATTCCCTCTTCTTGTGATGATGTGAGATGATATAATGCCTACATAATGAGATGAGCGAAGTGAATGACGTAGGCATTGGGACATAATGTTAGGCTACTATTGACCTTCTGAGAATAACTCAGGAAGATCATTGAACCATGATGATGTCATGTCTTCCACGCACAAATTTAATGCCTTAACTAAGCACTTATGCGCCATGGCTGTAACCCTTGCAGTTTGAGGTGCAACAACAAAACTAGCAAGCATTTCTCTTCTTTGTTCTTACCATAGGTTTTAGCAACCTTGGCATAGGTTTTACATTTCTTATTAAGTTGAGAACTTTCATCTTTTCGTGCAAAGGAAGCATTTTACAGCTTCTCTTTGGCATATCCAAATTGCCAACATCGCTACTCTTGTGCTTTGGGGCTATTATTAAATAAAATACAAATTTCTTGAACACAAGCAGTGTGATACAGTGACAATCTGATAACGAAGTGGCAGCTCCTTAGTGACTGAGGGGCAGGGAGCATATGCAGGGTAGATGCATAAACAAAGAGATGAGTCATGTCTAGGGCGGATGGAACGGGACATTGCGAGATTTTATCATGCTACTCAGAATGGCATACAATTTAAAACTTATGAATAATTTCTGGAATTTTTCATTTAATATTTTGGACTGCAGTTGACTGCAGGTAACTGAAATCTTGGATACTCTATACACACAATGGAATATTATTCAGCTTTAAAAAGGAGGAAATCTTGCTATTTGTGTCAACATGGATGAACTTTGAGGGCATTATGCTAAGAGAAGAAATAAGCTAGTCACAGGAGGATGAATACTGCATGAGTCTACTTATATGAGTTATCTAAAATAATCAAACTCAGGGAAGCAGAGAATACAATAGTGACTGCCAGGGGCTGGGTAGTGTGGGAAGTGGGGAGTTGTTATTCAATGGGTATACAGTTTCAGTAACGCTAGATGAATAAGTTCTAGAGATCTGCTTTACAACATGGTACCCATGTTAATAATATGATTTGTGTATTCAAAATTTATTGAGGGTAAATCTCATGTCAAGTATTTTACCACAAAAACAAAACCGAACCAAAAACAAAGAAACATAGGGAGACTCTGAAGGTGCTACATATGCCTGTTATCCTGATTGTGTATCATCAGAGTTTAAATATGTCTAAATACATCACATTATACACATTGAATATGCATAGTTCTTTGTATACCAATTGTACCTCA